GTATTAGTAGGGCAACTGAAACAACAAAAGCATTATCGTGGAGAAGAATTCCAACTAGTATTCCATCTAGTTTGATACGGTTTATTTAGTCATGGGGAGATTTTATCGACCTTATTTTTACTTGACCGTGATAAAATTTAGTCAATTCGTTGACCGAATTTGTTAGTAGTCTCATCAATTTTACCAATCATATTACGTGATTGTCAGGTCATGACAATGATTCATGACGAGTTCCTTAAACCATTATGTTTAACTTGTAGTATTGTTGATTGGGGATTAGCCAATTTAAAATAGGTATTGTTGTTTTATGTGCTTCTGAAATACCAGGAGTTCGTAGAGTTAAGGAATCCGAGCTGCCTAATTATATTATAAGTTTCAATCCAAAAATATTCATCTAGTGTTAATTTTAGTAGTAGGTTCCGGAGTTGTGATTTTAAATGTTTGTTTAGCCAAAGACTACCTGAGAGCTTAATTATTATACTAATGCGGTTGGTAGTGCCTTAATTTGTAACTTTATTATCTAAACTATGTTAGTCTTTTTAGGTTACTAATATGGTAGACCGATTCGTAAACTGAAATACGCATGGCGATGATGACTATGATGGGTTTATTGCAAAATGTTAAAGGCGATTCAGATGATTTTTCAAATTTAAAAGACATAGAGATATGATCCAACGCATAAACGGGCCAGGGTAACATGCAGATTATTGAGGTAAACGACAATTTAAAAATTGTAAACGTGGCGAAAATGAAAAATATTTTCAAAGTTGAGACGACTTATGGAATTTCGGTTAGGAATATGACGCGTTATGAACTTTCCATAACAAGTTCCAGGATTTAGCCTAGTGACAATTACAAATATGTCGCAAAAGTAACTGGGACAAAGAAAAGTCTTTAAACAACACACTTTTTCTTAATAATACGTTGTAATACAAAAGTAATAAATACTTCTGCCAAAAGGTCTTGGAAGTAGCTCGTATGATATATATACAACCACTCTAACGAAAAAACTATGTAGGAAGTGCTAAAAGCATAGAGTAAAACTCGCCTTGAATATTTGTTGATTTCAAGTAATGAAAATTTGAACTATACAGTAGCTTGAATCTGGATTACAAACGAGGTACTGTTGATTAAACTTTTGGATTGACACAGCATTGAAGACCGAATTTGTACTAGTCCAAAATCAATTAAAGCCGAATACGTAGGGTTGCCTGACCAACAGTCATAAACGATATCCAAGATTGCAAGAATTTTATAGTTCAAACTCACCAAAAACTTCTGGAGTATTATTGATTGACAATGGAACTCGAGAATTAGAAACCAGGTGGGTAGTGGTCGATAAAAAAGTTATAACAGGATAGTGTATAAATTAAAACAGAATGAGGCGCTGAGTGAAGAAATAATTAGAAGCATTAGATCAAAATAACTATTTAGTCCTTACTTACGTTGCTAGTCGATGTATATTTACGTTATTTACAGGTCATATTTGCTAGAACTTGATATGTAAACAAGTTTATTTCGCTGTAGTATGTAAATGCTATTAAAGCTTGCTAATGAAATATCAAAGCTAATAATTAAAATAGATGACCAGTTTTTATAATTGATTGAGCTAGTAAGTTATGAGTACTAATCAATACAACGTTACGATAATACATATGAACATTAATCAGAGGACTATTAGAATAATGGGTTCACATAAGTAAAAATCGACCGAAAGTTGAAGTGGAAATACGGATTAACAATAATAGGTTGCGTTTCTTTAGTCGAGCTGACCAATGTAGAATTATGGTCTACTATGATATTAGCACTGCTCTAATAATAGAACTGATCCTAAAATTGTAGATTTATTATGATGTAACTGCCTAATCTATAAGATCTTACGTCGAAGTCACATCATCTACGTCAACTCACTGCGTCGTAACAATTACCAATACATGATATAGAACAATCTTAGGCTAGAGATGGAACAATATATTTAATATGAATAAAAGACATAACGTAAAATTTAACAGGGACCACGCCTGCATGGTCGAGCCATGCCACACCATCAACTCGGATTAATTCAATTCATTATTCCCGCCTTCTCTATTGTTAGGTATTTCCCAGCGTTAAATGTTGAATGTCTGTTTTCCATATTGTCTCGTGTTAGGGCCCAATGCCACTACAAGTACTGCTCTAATGATAAGCCTAATCCTTAAATTTAAAATTTGTGATGATGTAACTGCCTATACTATAAGATATTACGTGTAAGTCATACCATCGTCTACACCAACTTACTGCATCGTAACAATTACCAACACTTGATGGAAAACAACCTTACGCTAGAGATTAAACAATATATTTAATATGAATAAAAGATATAAGGTAACATTCCATAGAGACCATGCCTGCGAGGCCGAGCCAAGCCATCCGATCAACTCCAATTATTTCAACTCTTTCTTTCCGCCTTCGTGGTTGAGTTTTTTCAGCGTTAAATAGTGAATATCTATTTTCCCAGTTGTCTCGTGTCCAGCTTTGAGGATAGTGTGGTTATGGCTCAATGACACCGCCAGGGTGGTTGTCAAAGCTTCGGAAAGAATTATTAGGAAGGAGTTGCTTAAGTATTAAGACGAAAACCGGATTCTTTCTGAAGCGTAGCAAGGCTTTAGAACAGGTTATTCATATTCCACTAACTTACAACTTTTAGGCATAAGGAGACATCGTTTAATATGGCGACTTCCTACACTAAACTATCGATGGACTCAAATAGACCATATTGCCATCAGTCATCGTTGCAGAGGGTCGATAGAAGATTGTCGCTCATTCTGGAGTATCTGCTTGGACTCTGACTATGACCTAATACGGGTACGCATCATCTTGCGCCTCACTGGATAAAAAAAGATGCACTGGAACTGAACTGAGTAACGATAAAACCAAAAGTAGGCTTCCGGAACACTTGAGGTCACTCTTAGGTAGTTCTGAAAACGAGGCTGACCCAGGTATTGCTTGGAAAGTTAAACAAGCAGCTGTGGAAACAGCAGTGACATCTACTAGTGATTTAAACCACAGGGTTACAAAGAACCAATGGATTTCTTCAAGGTCTATTGCACTGATAGATTCTCGTAAACTCATCCCATCAGGTTCTGAACACGATGAAGAGCGTGAAGACATCAGATCTACGTTAAGCAAAAGTCTAAAGAACGATCGTGAGCAGTGGTTGGCAACGAAAGCAAATGAGATGGAAAAGACGGCGGTTATAGGGAACACAAGACAGCTGTACAGACTAATAAAAGAAACTGGAATTAATAAGTGTAAGTCAGACTATTTTGTAAAAAGAGGACACATTTTAGAAAATAGTTCAGCTGGCATTCATCTACTCTACAACTACCCTTCATTAACAGACAGTGTGAACAGAACATTGAAGTAGGTCCCCAACTGTAGCTGTAGTTCAAAAGGCTATAGTTAATCCGAAACGAGGAAGAGCGGCTGGTCTAAATGCATTGACCCCAAAAGTTTTTGAGGATGGGGATCCAATTTTAGCGATTAGGTAGACTAATATTTTAGCTTGAATCTTGGGATAGGACGGTTTCCCATCCGACTGGTCACAATCACTAATCGTCCGACATTGGTGGTCTTTTTAACAGCAGTTAACTCCGTAATCAGCGAGATTCTGTTACTGTATCCGTCATGGAAAGGCGTGCCTCAGAAGTACATAAACCTTGTGAAGGCTCTTTACTCCAACACTACCAGTGAAGTCAAAGCTTATGGCGAACTGTTATCTGCTTTTGCAACCTCAAGTGATGTCCGTTAAGTTTGTCAAATTTCTCCATTTTTGTTTAACTTCATCATGAACCTACTGATGGAAATAACGCTCTCATCGACTGAATTCTCGAGCACTGATCTCCTACCAGGAGGTTAACTTCAAATTGTTCAAATGGTTGTGAACGGAATAGTAGAAACTTTCGCTTAACAGGTTTCCGTGTCTAGTAGTAGGGGATCACCATTATTGAGAACACGCAGATGACATACTACTGTTTGGTGAAGACGCTCATAAAATACAGAGTCTTTTGGTAGCATTGAGCAACAATGCCAGAATGTTCGGGATGCGCTTCTCTCCCTCTAAATGCAAGTTCTTGCTTCAGAACTGGCCTGCGTCAAAACCTGTACTAATGATAAAAAGTGAAGTAGTTGAACGCGTTGACATTTTCATTATCTACCAAAATATCTGCACAGATTCGAAAAGCTCTTTTGGCTTTCACCAACTTACGTCACCTATGGCGAAGGTGTGATATCCGTCTATCAATTAAGGGACGAGTATGCTCCGTGGCAGTTCGTTCTGTCCTGGTCATTATGAGTAGAAGATACTCGTAAGCTACTAGTATTTCACCACAGATATTTTAGAAATATTGCTCGCATCTATTGAGATCATTGGGTAAGTAAATGTGGAGTTAGATGCAGGGTATTTGGGAATGATGGTAAACCAGTTGATGAGGTTGTAAACGTACATCGACAGAGATGGTTGGGCCACGTGTTACGTATGCCTGAACACCGATTTCGACGACGCACAATGCTGATTAGTGTTGGAAACAGTTGGAATAACGTTAGGCGTAGCCTAACAAAAAGAGTGGCATCAGTGCTTGTAGTCACTAACTTCTAGTCTAAGCCATGTTGGTAGATGCAGACTACTTGGTTGGGGTCCGCGTGACGATTGTCCCCAGTGGTTAGAGACTCTTGGTGACATGGCTCAGAATCGATCACAATGGCATCGGTGTTGTATACACTCTTTGTCTTCCTTTAAACTAAGAGATTGAAATCGCTTCATATCTTTCTTTCTATGTACTAAATCTTTCTTCCTGTACTATATCCTTATACACAATCTTTCTTTTATATATTACCACCACTACTTTTATGAATCCGGTGTTCATCTTGCTGTGCCAATGAGATATTGCAACTTGAACCGATGCATATATGTGCCTGGTCTTATGTTGTAACTGAATGACTGGTTGAAAATTATAGTGACTATGTTTATTGTTACTTTTTCTCTCTTTCATTTAATTTTCTGTTCTACAATTTATTCTAACAAACCATTGTAAGTGTAAAGTATATCCAAGAATAATAAATGTAGCTGAATGACTGACTGTCTCACTAACTTATTAGTAGACCGTGAAATTTGGTCCGCTCATAGATATCAAAAGTTACCTAAAGATGTGGGCTACATTGACTGCAGTAAGACTTTTGACAAAGTCTCTCATAACCGGTTGATATCTAAGCTGAGTAATATCGGGATTGTAGGTTGTTTATTTATGTGGATAATGGGCTTCCTCGTTTGGCATTAATAAAGTGTACTGGGGAACTTAACGTCGTCTAGGTGGGTAGATGTGCTTAGCGGAGTACCTCAGGGCACAGTCTTGGACTAGTATTTTTCCTCTTGTATGTAAATGACTTTGTTAGTCTATTGTCATCAATTTTTTTATACTCTGACGATGTCAGGATGTGGAGAACGATGAGAAGTAAAATTGACAATTTAGAGCTTCAAGATTACCAGGAGAAATAATCTGAGTGGTCTTAAACATGGCGTGCTATATGGTGCATATATGTCACAGAAGCACAGGTACATACACGGTGAATAACAGTGAGCTACTTGCTGTCCTGACACACGATGATCCACGAGTCATCGTTAGCCAAGACCTAAAGACTATTGAACACTGCCATGAGACAGCTGCTAAAGGTTTTGGAACCCTATGGTCAATATGCAAGGACTTTTGCCATGCCGATGCTAGAAACGTTTTGACTTGGTATACAATAGTTATCCGTCTTAAACTGGAGTACTCTCTATAAGTGTCTGACTTCTGACTAAAAATAGACAGTGATCTGTTGGAAAGGGTTCAATGGACAGCATTTGGACTGATTCCTAGAATACCAAAGCTCCCGCGATTTGTTCACCGTATTTCAGGTTACTTGGTGATAAATTTTCATCCGATATGCTCTTAACATTGAAGCGCATTTTTGGTCAGTTTGACGGGAGAACTTTCCACATAATCTTCAATAGTTTCATTCGTCCCCATTTAGAGTACGGAAACATAGTATTCCCTCCTACACTCCAAAAGGATAAGGACACTATGGAGCGTATCCAACGGCGAGCCACGAAATCAGTTCGGGGACTCAAATTTAAACCTTACGATGAGCGCCTTCAATCACTTAACCTTTACCCATCAGAGTATAGGCGTCTTAGAGGTGACCTTCTAATGACTTACAGCATCCTTAACACACCTGGACATCCTCTTAAACACCTACTTAGCTTAGTCCCAACACTAACCTAAGGGGTAACACCCAGAGACTGGAAATACAACATAGTAGAACGGACTGCAGACACAACTTCTACTCCTTAAGAGTTGTCAAATGCTGGAATTCGCTGCCAGCTGAGCTAGTCCAAGCAACTTCCCAGGAGTCCTTTAAGAGGCGACTTGATCTATTCTTAAGGACTAAGGATAGTATCCTACTATGATTTACCAATTCATTTTCTTTCTCTTTTATCGTTAAAATACCTAGGTTCTTGCCTGGAGGTATTGGTGATCCCCTGATACTAGACACGGAAGCCTGTTAAGCGAAAGCTTCTTCTATTCCGTCCACAACCATTTGAACCATTTGAACCATTTAATTTTTTGACTTTCAAAACAGAAAATTCAAGAGGACACCAAAATTGTTCACAAGTCCAGGAAGAATTACCTGTCAGCTGACTATCGCCTTTTTCATCGAATCATCAATGAACGGCATTCATTAATTCAACATGTCATTCAAGCTCAATTGGTTGTCGCTTTCAAAAGAAAGTTGAATCAACTGAGACACAACCATTATCTGAACTAATACAGGCCTCCTATCCTTTCGAAACTGAAACAATTTTCTGTTTACTTTTTCACTTTTGCTTGTTCTTCAAGTTTTTTCTACTTAGTGCCATCAATTATTTGTTGCTTCTAGACGCATAAAGTGACAACAGTCTGAGTCATTTTGGAGTTTGAAGGTTGTTTGATTGACTTCAAGTGTTGAGCGGTTGGTAGAATGTGGTTGTTTGTTGGGAATGTATTTGATGTTTCTTAGTTTGTGTGATCGCTCAGATATCGGATATCAGTAACTCAGCTGCTGGGTATGTATAAAATCATTTTTACAATAATTTACACAAGTATGTTTCAATTTGCCATGATCGAAACATGAACTTTAGCACAAGATAAATCCTAGCTCATAAGTAAAGTAGTTTTTCAAACCAGTTGGTATACCTGGGGTATCGTTTTCATTTCCGGAAATCCATCAACATATTCCTTATCGAACTAGGGTCCAGTGAGTGATATTTAAGGCTGCTTTTGTACTTGTCTTAAAGTGTGTAAACTCCTAGACAGATTAATGTATTCGTCTTAGAGAAATCATTTTGAAAATATTTGCTTGGCCAAAGTAAGTTTTAAATCCGATCGTCAGTTTTACTATCCATAATTAGTCGTTTATGAAAATCGTATTCACTGACAACTATTAGGAAAAGGAAACTGTAAATCCTAGCTTCCATATTTTCTTTTTCTTTAACATTATTCTAACTTAACCACCTCGTCATTTATGTCTCTGCAATCTGGCTATGTCTTCAGCAGCGATCGCTAAAAATCAGCTGAGGGGTAAGCAGTATTTTGCCGTGTATTCGACGTTAATTTTCACTCGACTAATTTAGGCCTAGCGATACCGGTCGGTAGCTGGAGAGGTTTTACGGAAGGTTTCAAATATGTAATTTAATTGTTCTAGGTATCGTACCAACCACTACACAATTTCTTTAGAGATGATCATGTTAATGTCATTATATGATTTAATACCCATCACTTGTGCCCAGTAAATGCGTAACAAGATAGGCTACTACAAGTTTCTTTGAAAAATCGATTCTCAATCACAGTGTAGAAGCTTTTTCAAACGTCAGGCAAAATGTAGTAACTTCGGTGGAATTCGGCACAATGACTCAGTATCTCAGATTGAATAGATACATAGATAAAAAATAACACCACAACATATTAAGAAAGATCTGCCGGAAAAATAATGCTTTGTTGCTAACTTTAAGCGCTGTTCGATCCACATAATCTACCACTAAACACATGCTTTATTGTTTTGCCAAGCACCTCTCTGTAAATAAACCGATTGTTTCTATCTTGAAATCTAACACTAAGCACGCACTAAATTCTTAACTGCACTTACAGTATCAATTGAACCTGAGTAGATTGAATAGCTGAATACTCCAATGTCTTACTAATGAATAAAAGCTATTATTTGTTATCAGCTGTTTTTAACGTCTGAAGTGTATACCGCAATATTAAGTCCTGCAGTCTAGTGAATGTAGTTCCAATCGTGATAGATCGAAATTCACTATCAAAGAATTTCGAGAAATAACTATTTAATGATGATCATTAAGGGAATTTCGATCGGTATATTTTTCTTCATTGATTTCGTAGTTGTTTATTAACTAATACTAGAATACAGCAAGCCAAACAGCAGGCGTTCAAATCTAAAGTAAAGTGTGTTGTTAGGATCTTCATAGAACATAAAGCCCTAAATAAAAACCCCAAATTTGTCACAAACATCCCACTTTTACAGTTTTTGGGTTCTTTGGCCTCTGAAGTATAATCGTTATTCTAACTACGTAGAAACCCTGGGATATAGAGTCTTCTGAATAGCCTGTGAAGTTAAAGGAGATGGACTCGATTGGGTCTTCCTGTCCCCTATGTTTCATTATTTTAGTACGAACGAGGGGACTTGAACCTAACTAATTTATATGACGTCTTACACTGCATCTAAACCCGTTCCGGCTGGTACTAGATTACACCAGTATCTCACAGTTCAGGATTTCCTGTGAAAGGAAAAGCGCGTCGAAGGTCGAAATACATGTCTGTCACATATAGTGTATACCTCCACTAATAAAAAAACTGCTGCTCCTGAACACACATTTTTCATTTTATTTACGTTTGTATACCTGTTTTATATACATATACAAGTTTTGTAGTGTAAGCGAAAAGTAGGATCTTGTTAAAATGTTTTATGCTGGAAATTCAGTTGTTCACAGTACTAAGTAGTGAATAAAGGGATTATTATTTTTCTATAAAATATCGTAAATAATACAGTTACGGTCATGTTCACACTCACTTGATACTTTAATTTCTAGCATCGAAGTACGTATTCATTATTTTAACATCATAAGATGATTCATTTTTTTATTCATTTGGCTATGCTTATGTCAGTAGTATAGATGTCATGTGACTACAGTATATGGAATTTATGTCAAATAAAGTAATTTGTATCTATAGTTTAATAAGACGACTCTTACTGAAAAAATGATATACAGATTTGTGTATTGAGGACAGAAAACCCACAATCTGTATTTGTCCTAATATAGTAAGCTTCTGAGTGTTTGGTTTTCTTTTGAATTAGTCAATTGAAGGGGCAGACACCACTTCTAGTAACAGGTTTCAAAGATTGATAACTTGATAGTCACCGTCTGTACTTTTCTCAAGATATCCAGGTCACCTTTTAAACAAAGGCTTGCAACCTAAACTCAGTTTTCAAGTTTAGATCTCATTAAGGTTGTATATACTGTAGTGAACATATTAGTATCTAACTTGGTAAACGTCCGTCCGCCTTCGTGATGTTAGTCTGGCTGTTAAAGGTCGGATCTACAACGCGACGGTGAGGGCAGTTTTGCTCTATGCTTGTGAAACCTGGCCTCTCCGAGTTGAGGATGTTAGACGACTCTGTGTTCGATCATCGCTGTCTCCGAAGGATTGCTGGCATCCAGTGGCAACACCATGTCAGTAATGCAGAGGTTCGGCATCGAGTGTTCGGTCACAGAGACGATAATGAAATTGGTGTCACCATCTTGCAACACCGACTTCGGTGGCTTGGACATGTTCTACGAATGTCGTCCCAGAGAATTCCACGTCGTGCATTATTTGCCGACTCTAGGACTGGTTGGAAAAAGCGGAGAGGTGGTCAGTATATGACATGGTGTCGTGGTATGAAAGAAAGCTGCAAAGGGCTAGCTTCTGTTGGTCCTTCACGACTCCCTGGCTGGGGTCCGAGAGACGGTGTAACGCAGTGGCTAGAGACGTTATCAGATATGGCTCAGAATAGAAGCCAGTGGCGATCCTGCTGTAACCTTCTTTTACTTTCTTCATGAAAAGTGGTTGTATCTTCCTTAACTGAAAGATTTCTTATGATTGTACCTTTCCGTTTTCCCCATCATTGTTCTCTCTCTCTTTTTTTATTTATTTATAATTCCCCACGTTCATTACTTTTTTTCTCTTTTCTCCTTCTCTTCAAATTATCATTGTTTTGTGTGGCGCATATATATTTGGTGCCCCCCTGTACCAATATTTATGTGTTCAAATAAATAAATAATCAACCATTTTCTAGACCAGCTAATCATAACATCTAAGTTTGGCTGAAGTGCACATGCATATACGCCTCATTACTTCACTCGATTTTTACATCAGCGTATAGTAACATAGGGGACTCAACCATACTTGAGAGTTCATTTACATACGTATAAAAAGTAAACCACCTAGGACAGAGCATTGTAGTACTCCACTAAGTACTGGTTTTCAGGAGGAGTATTTGGAATTCATTCTGTCTACGACCTGCCAAGAAATCCTTGATCTACTTTAGGAGAGGTCCGGTAATTCTTGAACTTTCCAGCCTCAAGAGTATTTTATATTTTTGGCACCTTATCAAATGCTTTGCTGAAGTTTACGTAGACAACATCTACGAATTTTTCATTATCGAGAGCCTTTGTTCATCGCTCTCGCTATAATGGAACTTGTTGTGCTAGATAATCCTTTCTTGAAACTATATATAGTTCGCTGTTTAACAAATTGGTTTCCACGGATGCAATTATGGTCTTTTTGATTATTCTTTTAACTACGACACTGGTGAAGCTAACAGGTCTATGGTTTGATGGAAGTTGTTTCGATCCTGTTTTGTCTTTCTAGTTCGTAGGTAACTCACCTTGGCCAAGTGACATATTGTTTATCGTAGTCAGTTATTGTATCATCATTGTTTTTCCTTAATAACATAAGGCATTTCATATTATTTAATTTTAGCAGATCACAGAAAAGTAACAAAGATGCCTAGTGTGACTACAACAAGTACTGTCAGTCCATCAGGAGTTCGTTTAATACGTAAAACTTCATGTACTGGTACCAATGATCAAGCTACTAATTCTTCGTTTCAACATAATCCTGACAGAAAATCATTAAGAGATCAACCAAATGTTGGGAAATATAAGTTGATTCGTACACTTGGTCGTGGTAATTTTGCAAAAGTTAAATTAGCACAACATGTTTCAACTGGACGTGAAGTAAGAATTCAAACATTATTTATTTTTACTTACTTACTTACGCCTGTTACTCCCAATGGAGCATAGGCCGCCGACCAGCATTCTCCAACCCACTCTGTCCTGGGCCTTCTTTTCTAGTTCCATCCAACTCTTGTTCATTTTTCTCATATCTATCTCCACTTCCCGGTGTAATGTATTCTTTGGTCTTCCTCTCCTCCTTCGACCTTGAGGATTTCATATGAGGGCTTGTCTTGTGACGCAGTTCGGTGCTTTCCTCAATGTCTGTCCTATCCACTTCCAGTGCTTCTTCCTGATTTCTTCCTCCACTGGGATCTGATTTGTTCTCTCCCACAATAGGTTGTTGCTAATAGTGTCCGGCCAACGGATCTGAAGTATTTTGCGTAGACAACTGTTAATAAACACCTGTATCTTTTGGATGATGGATTTCGTGGTTTTCCAGGTTTCCGCCCCATACAGTAGAACTGTCTTAACATTTGCATTGAAAATTCTGACTTTGGTGTTGGTTGCTAATTGTTTTGAGTTCCAGATATTTTTCAGTTGTAAATATGCTGCTCTTGCTTTGCCAATCCGTGCCTTCACATCTGCATCAGATCCACCGTGTTCATCGATGATACTGCCCAAATATGTAATGGTTTTTACATCTTCCAAAGCTTCTCCGTCAATTGTGATTGGATTGGTACATGCTGTGTTGTATCGCAGAATCTTGCTTTTCCCTTTGTGTATATTGAGACCTATTGCTGCTGAGGCTGCTGCTACACTGGTTGTCTTCTCCTGCATTTGTTGTTGCGTATGCGATAGAAGAGTCAGATCATCTGCGAAGTCTAGATAATCCAATTGCACCCTAGCTATCCACTGTATCCCGTGCTTCCCTTCAGATGTTGATGTCTTCATGACCCAGTCGATCACCAGGAGAAAGAGAAAGGGTGAGAGTAAGCAACCTTGCCTGACACCGGTCTTTACTTCGAACGACTTTGTGAACTGTCCTCCATGCACGATTTTGCAGTTTAATCCATCATAGGAATTCCGTATGATATTGACTATCTTCTGAGGCACGCCGTAGTGTCGAAGAAGCTTCCATAGGGTTGTTCTGTCCACGCTATCAAATGCTTTTCGTAGTCGATGAAGTTGATATAGAGTGATGAATTCCATTCAATTGATTGTTCCACAATGATCCGTAGAGTTGCGATTTGGTCTGTGCACGATCTATCCTTACGGAATCCTGCCTGTTGGTCTCGAAGTTGTGCGTCTACGGAGTCCTTCATCCTGTTTAACAATACCCTGTTGAAGACTTTTCCTGGTATTGAAAGAAGAGTGATTCCCCTGTAGTTGTCACAGTTGCTGAGATCGCCTTTCTTTGGTATTTTGACTAGAAGTCCTTCTTTCCAGTCTTTTGGTACCTGTTCCTCATCCCAGATCTTTCTGAAGAGAGTTTGGAGTTTCCTTGCAGTTGCCGCCACGTCTGCTTTCAGTGCCTCTGCTGGAATGCTGTCTAGTCCTGCTGCTTTGCCACTCTTGATTTGTCTGATAGCCATGCTGATTTCTTCAATTGTCGGTGCGCCAACATCAATTGGGAGGTCCGTGAGTGCTGCTTCGATGTTGGGTGGGTTCAGTGGGGCTGGTCGATTCAAGAGTTCTTTGAAGTGTTCTACCCACCTGTTTCGTTGTTCTTCAATGTTGGTGATTATCTTGCCTTCCTTGTTTTTCACTGGTCGTTCTGGTTTACGGTGATTTCCAGAGAGTTTCTTTGTTGTTTCATACAGTTGTCTCATGTTTCCTTCTCTGGCAGCCTTTTCCGCCGTCAATGCCAAATCTTCCACATATTTACGTTTGTCAGTTCTGATGCTCCTTTTCACTTGCTTGTTTACTTCTGTGTATTCAGCCTGTGCCTTGACTTTTTCTGCTCTTGTTCGACTGGTATTGATTGCTGCTTTCTTGTTCCTCCTTTCTTGAATCTTATTCAGTGTATCGACCGTGATCCAATCCTTGTGATGGTGCTTCTTTTGGCCCAGAACCTCATGACATGTTGAAGTGATTGCCTCTTTTATCTCTTTCCAGTTGCTCTCCATAGTAGTTCCTTCTCCATTGAGTAGATCATGAAAGGCTTGGAACTTATTGCTGAGGGTTATCTTGAATTCATTGAGTTTGTCAATATCCCGAAGAAGAGCCATATTAAATTTTTGTGATATTGTCCTCCCCGTTGTCCAGTGCCTCTTGAGTTTCAATTTCATCTTGGCGACCAGCAAGTGATGATCTGATGCTATATCAGCTCCTCTCTTTGTTCTCACGTCCTCCATCGTCCTCCTGAACTTTTTGTTGATGCAGATATGGTCGATTTGGTTCTGTGTGCTGTGATCCGGTGAAGTCCATGTGGTTTTGTGTATGCGTTTATGTGGGAATATAGTGCAGCCTATGACCAGTTTATTGAAGGCACATAGATTTGCAAATCTCTCACCATTTTTATTCCTTTCTCCCAGTCCGTGTCGTCCCATGATCTCTTCATATCCGGTGTTGTCAATTTCAACCTTGGCATTTAGGTCTCCCATCAGAATAGTCAGGTCTTTTGTTGGGCACTTCTCGACGATTGACTGCAGCCCATCGTAGAATTGATCTTTAGCGTCCTCATTGTAGTCATTGGTAGGCGCGTAGCATTGGATGACGTTCATTGTAATGCCCTCTTTCTTTGTTTTGAAGGAGGCTTTGATGATCCTTGGTCCATGAGATTCCCATCCTATAAGTGCATTTTGTGCTTGTTTGGACAGCATCAATGCAACTCCTTGTGTATGTGGAGCATTTTCTTGTTCATGTCCGGAGTATAACAGCAGCTCCCCTGAAGCCAGTCGTTGTTGTCCAACTTGCGTCCAATGTGTTTCACTGATCCCAAGCACCTCTAAATTGTATCTCCTCATTTCTGCAGCAATTTGGAAAACTCTCCCAGTCTCCCACATTGTGCGAGCATTCCATGTACCTAAATAAATGGTTGCTCTGGTTGTCAGAAGGGGCATCGGCCTCGTGACTTCCGAAGAAACTCGGCTTTCATCATGAGGCGTCATAATTCTTCTAAACGAAGACCTCCTGACTCCCAGGGCAGAGTTTAAATGGTTTGAATAATTTTTTCTGGTTAGCGTTTTTTTAGCGAGTTAGTTTTCTACGGGATGGGGTCGCTAACCCCATGCCCAACTTTCCTCCTTTATCCGGGCTTGGGACCGGCAGTAGCCCCCGGAAAGGGGCCCCAGGCGGAGTTATTTATTTTTACAGATTATGTTTTATGAAAATCACTTAAGAATTTTCTAATTCAATTTGTAAATGAATTTAAATGGTTTTTCTCTAAAATTAATATTAACCTGAATATAGCTCGTTGAATAAAAATAAGTCAATCTTAATCAATATAAGGTATTTAAGTATTCCATTTCGAAATATATACGAACGAAATTGTAATTGAAATATGAGTAAAATAGCATCATACCTTGATAATACACTTCACTTAGTAGTAAGCGTCGTTGACTATAGACAAATTATTTCATCATTCAGAAGTAACTTCTGATTGTCTTTTTAAATTTCATTACCACTTTGAGTTAAAGCCCCCGAGTGCCGTGGTATGGCCGAGAGTAGGTAGAGTCCGCTCTCCCTCTCGAAAGGCTCTCACATGGCCACGCGTATATAGCCTCTGCCAGAGAAGTCCTACTCACTGCCTTCTCATGGCGGTGGTGTTGTTTACGAAATTGAGAGGACGAAAAGCGAATGTCCGGCACTTTAACCGGATCCCAAATCAATGATGCACATGGGCTAGCTCCAGTATCCTGAAGGAACAAATGGTGTATGAACCAATCGTTGGTCACCGGCTACCATGTGACTACATCTCCTTACGATGCTCCACTGCTTTGTGGATCAGAACTTCAGGTCGAAAGCTTGGGGTGCGGCCCTCTAAGAAAACCACCTGTTTCGGTTTGGGATTTCGGGGCAGTATCACAGCCTTCACACATATCAAATGAGATCTGTGTGGCGCATATGTATTCGGTGCCTCCTTGTACCAATATCTATGTGTTAAAATAAATTAATTAATTAAAGACTTCCCAAATTTGTATGGTAATCATGGCTTACGCTTAACCAGTTGTTTTGTTGTTTATTGCAGGTTGCTGTGAAAGTGATCGATAAAACTCAGCTTAATCAGGCCAGTTTGAAAAAAGTAAGTTAATTAATTAGCGTAACAATAATCTGCAATTTATTTACCGAGTACATATAGCTTTAAGTCACTTTAGATAGGAAGATGGTGATTTTATCCGACTATCCCCTTATATACAATCTTTCTTCTATATATTACCACCACTGAATCAACTAGTTCTATGAATCCGGTGTTCATCTTGTTGTGCTAATGCGGTATGGCAACTTGGACCGATGCATATTTGTACCTGGTCCTACGTTGTAGCTAACTGACTGACTGATTTTATCCGACTGCTCAAACTGAAATTAAACTTTAAGCTTTGACCTACTAATTGAAAGCTACATATAAGCATCTGTTCGATATACCACACTATATTAAGACAGAAAGATAAATTTTTTTAATGTAAATATCATAGTAGTACAGGTAGTAAAATTAATTTTAGTAATAGAAAAGATTAGATATAAACGGTATAATTTAAGAAAGAACAAATTTACTCAATGAAAAGTTCAAGATTATTTTAAAACTCAATAGATGACTAATAGTTATGATTCGCTATTGTTACTTGTTCTGATCTATTTCATCTGATATTTTCAACTATTCGTTATGATTATTATCCACACACTAATGAAGTAACCTACATCTAGTCATATGGACTAAGTCGACAGTTGTTATACTATCTCATCAATTATATTAAGTACTCACACGCGAGACTGATAGGTCATAAGTTCGATTCTCGCGGTAAGGGGGAGGCGGGATCGTTTATGTCAGTCAGTGGTCTTGAGTGCTGTTAGAGGTATGAGGGCGGTTATCACTTCCCGGTTGCCCACACCGTGGAAGGGTTCTGCTGGAGGTACCTGAAAAGGAAATTGGATTAGAGGTGGTCATAGTGACCTGAGAGCGTGACCGCAGTGCCCAAGGGACAGCTGCTTAAGGTCGGTCACACACGACCTTTTTATGAGTAATTTTTGTGTTAGCTCCGTACTTGTTGAGACCTTACCGCCGGAGACGGATATCCGTGGGATAAGGCGAGGTGTGCATTTTTAGGGTCGACCTTTTCTAACCCCTCCCCTCCTTTTGGGAAGGCAGCATCGCTGTTATGCTGGTTGTCTGAAGGAAACACCTTACTGCTGTCACACCTCTGTACAGTAAGCAGTACGACTTCGCCTTCGGACCTTGGTTTTGTTGCTTTTAGTCTTACCGCTCTTCAACCGACCTGTCTGGCATGGTAGGACCTTGAGGAACGGTTGTTCCAGCCAGTATAGCTCAGTTGCTTCATCACGATAGGCAAGCCCGACCACCACGTCAAGGTAGCAACAACGGTCAGGGATCGTTTATGTGCACTGCCACTGAGGAGTAGTCCCACACTAGGACGAAACGGCCGTCTATTGCTTCCAGGTTTTTCATAGTGGTCTAACTTCAATTGACTCATGATTTCAACTATTGAAATATATTAAAATTCTTGAAGTAATTCTCATCTCTATTGTTATTCTTTGTGGGAATACTAGTTTTACCTATTACGTTTTTATGCGTTTTACCATAGATGAGCTAGAGCTATGATGGAACTACTGTCTTTCCTTCTTTCTCTCTCCAACATATTGAAGTACTATCAAGTAATAAATGGTATAGATCATTGCTCTCTCTCTCTGTGTGTGTGTATGTGTATGTATTAATTTTCTCCCAAATCGATTGTCTATCTTCCTTTCGTTTATTATTATTGTTATTATCTTTTCTTATCAAACTTGTTTTACCCATTATTTGTATGGTTTGTGCATAAGCATGAAAGTAAACGGAGAGAGGGAGGGAGAGAGAGAGTGAATGAGTGATGAAGAGATGACAACTAAGGCCAATAGGCCAATATGTATATAACAGAATTCCACAAATAATTAAAACAATAGGCTGTCTGTCAAAAAATCAATAATAGTAATATAATAATAATAATAATGATGATCAAGCCAATTTGACACGTGTTGCTATCTCTCTCTCTCTCTCTTTCTATCTCTCATTCTCTCCCTTTCATTTCTGTCACTCAAGAATATGCACACAGATATAGAGATAAATAGAAAGATAGAGAACTTTTATGTATTTCATAAAAATCAATTATATATAATATCTTTTCATTGATTTTTGTGTTTAACAATAACTATACTCTCTTTATTCATTGTATAATTTGGAGTATTATTACTATTACCGGAAAAAGTTTTACATTTGTTTCATATTACTTATATGGTTAATTAAAATATCTATTAAAGCTAGATCACCATGAAAAACTTGGAAGTATTAGATGGCCTTTTCGTCTTAGTATGAGACTCCTAAATGGCAATACGCATCCACCATCCCGCCCCCCTCCCCGCGAGATTCGAACCCAAGACCTATCAGTCTCGCTCGCGAGCGCCTAACCATTAGACCACTGAGCTGGTAGGTATCGAACGGTGTGTATGTCTAACTTCAACCCATCCACAAAATTGCGCCACCGTACATCATTGTCTTCAATGAGCTGATATTTCATAACAGACCTGATTGAACTCCACTGGTCGTGGCTTCTCATTTGAACTCCAGAAAACGAGACTGATAGGTCCTGGATTCGAATATCGTAACGGGGGGGGGGCGGGATCGTGTATGCGCACTACTGAAGAGTACCATTTATTTATTTATTTTTAACACATAGGCATTTGTACAAGGAGGCACGAAATACATATGCGCCACACGAATCTCAATTGATTTGTGTGAGGTCTGTGATACTGACCGGGTGCCCAAACCGAAGCAGGTGGTTTTCTTAGGGGGCCACACCACGAGCCTTTGACCTGAACGTCTGATCCACAAGGCAGTGGAGCATCGTGAGGAGATGCAGTTCCATGGTAGCCGGTGACCAACGATTGGTTCATACGCCATTTGTTCCTTCAGGATACTGGATCTAGCCCATGTGCACCATTGATTTGAGATCCGGTTAAAGCGCCGGACATTCGCTTTTCGTCCTCTCAATTTCGTAAACAACACCCCCGCCGCCACGAGAAGGCAGTGAGTAGGACTTCTCTGGCAGTGGCTATATACGCGTGGCCATATGAGAGCATTTCGAGAGGGAGAGAGGACTCTCCCCACTCTCGACCGTACCAGGGCTCTCTGAGCTAAGATCATGTGTAGTATGAAGAGTACCATAATAGGACAAAACGGCCTTCCAGGTTTTCCATAGTGGTCTAACTTCATTTGACTCATGATTTCAACTATTGAAATTACTAAAATCTCCACAAAACCCCTTGTGATAATTGAAATATCCGCCTAAAATTTTTTATGATAATCTCATAGTGATTTTTATTTCAAAACTTTATTTACCAACAAAAAGAAATAGGGTAAGGGTAGACGCCTTTTTTAATTTTTTTTCTTTTTGTTTGTAATGATAATTATTGATTTTGATTATTTAATCAATTTTAATTTATAAAAAAAGATAAATAAATAAAGATACACTTTCAAAAATCTTTCCTATTTTAATGGTTAAGAATATGAGTTAGTTGAAGCTAGACCACCATGGAAAACCTGGGAGCTCTGGACGTCCGTTTCGTCCTATTGTGGTACTCCTCAGTGACAGGGTGCATCCACGACCTCGCCAGCTGCAAAATTTGAACCCAGAACCTACTAGTTTCGCGCTCGTGCACTTAACCACTAGACCACTGAGCATAGTGGTCTACCTTCAACTGGCTCATGATCTTAATCATTGAAATTACTATAATCTCCACAAAACCCTTTCCTATTTTAGTTTAGATTCAAAGTACCCTATCTTAGAGATTAGGATATTGAACGGTTATTATTTCTTTGATTATTTGTTTGATTAATGAATGATTTTTTTTTATTATACTTAGTAACTAAATCTAAGTTGGTTTACTAAATTAAATATTTTAATCATTATTAAGCAAGTCAGTCTTGTTGGACATGGTTGACCTTTCAACTCCAAAATGCTCTGATATGGCTGAGAGTAAAGAGAGCCAGCTTTGGTTCCCGAAATACTCTCATATGGTAACGTGCATACAATCACTGTCAGAGAAGTTCTACTCACGGCATTATTGTTGTTTTTTACGAAATTGACAATAGGAAAAGTGAATACTCGGCATTTTAACTAGGTTAGTGGATATGAAGGATTTACCTAGTTAAGTTGGAAAATCTTGATTCCAAACTAATGGTGCACATAGGCTCTAGGATCTTAAATGAACAAATGTCGTATGATACAATCGTTGGTCACTAGCTACCATGGGACTGCATCTCTTTACGTTGCTCTACTGCCTTGTGGATTGGACCTTTATGTCGAAGGTTTCGGTTTTGGGCAGCCCTGCAGTATCGTATCCCTCACACAAGTTGGACGATTTATGTAAGGCCTACTTACATCAATGTTTATGTGTTGAAATAAAAAAATAAAAAAATAAATCGTGCAACCAGAAATTGTCTGCTCAATCACTGGAGGTGCAAAAATGTTTCTTTGCAGTTATTGAGATTTATACAAAAAGAAATTGGTGTATGTATAATCTTTGTTGTCATTATGTTTTGGATTTAATAAATCACAACCTAATCTGTTTCTTTGTGTAGATGAATTTGAATATATTACTGACTGATTTTAGTTTGAAAACCATTGTGCGGTTGTCGGATGTTGTGTAAATCAATCTAATTTCTGATACAAACCACGAATTAAACAATAAACAAGCTCATTTTTATTAGGAATGTCTAGCGCTTTAACCGGATTCCAAACCAATGGTGCACATGGGCTAGCTCCAGTATCCTGAAGGAATAAATGGCGTATGAACCAATCGTTGGTCACCGGCTACCATGGGACTGCATCTCCTTACGATGCTCCACTGCCTTGTGGGTCAGACGTTCAGGTCGAAGGCTCGGTGTGTGGCCTCCTAAGAAAACTACCTGCTTCGGTTTGGGCACCCGGGGCAGTATAACAGCCTTCACACATATCAAATGAGATCTGTGTGGCGCGTGTGTATTCGGTGACTCCTTGTACCAATATCTATGTGTTAAAATAAATAAAATAAATGTACTTCAATGAATTAGTTTATAATATTTATTGATTAAAGCAACTGGTCTATGTTATAAGTGAGTGTTTAATTATGCCCTACCTTTATGATCATAGTTGATTGATATAAGAGTAGACTATCAAATGAATATGTTAACCTATACAAATCAGATGAATTATAGAACTATAAACTCAATTTGATGACCAATGAATCATGAATTACATTTGTATTTTTATTCATTCAAGTTCTACAAAATAATACATTGAAATCTCACCCCCAAATGCCCTGGTACGGCTGAGAGTGGGGAGTGTCCGCTCTCCCTCTCGAAATGCTCTCACATGGCCATGCGTATATAGCCTCTGCCAGAGAAGTCCTACTCACTGCCTTCTCGTAGCGGAGGTGTTGTTTACGAAAATGAGAGGACGAAAAGCGAATGTCCGGCACTTTAACCGGATCCCAAACCAATGGTGTACATGAACTGGCTCCAGTATCCTGCGGGAACAAATGGCGTATGTACCAATCGTTGGTCACCGGCTACCATGGGACTGCATCTCCTTACGATGCTCCACTGCCTTGTGGGTCAGACGTTCAGGTCGAAGTCTCGGGGTGTGGCCTCCTAAGAAAACCACCTACTTCGGTTTGGGCACCCGAGCAGTATCACAGCCCTCACACAAATCAATTTTGATTTGTGTGGCGCATATGTACTTGGTGCCTCCCTGTACCTATACTTATGTGTTAAAATAATAATAAATGAAATAAAATATTGAAATCTCATTTACTATATAGAAATAATGTTATAGATTCCATTCTTATTTCATATAGTATAGATAGTGAGTTAGTCAATCAATCAGTCAGGTCACATCTTGAACTGTTATATTTAATGTATCATCTAACATTGATACTGATTACAAGTTATATTGATTAATCCTATTTTGTTAATCTTTAAATAATCGTTTGTTTTGTTATTGAATTACTCAATTCTCTTTATACTTCTTTTTTTGTTTTTCTTTTTTCAATATCAGCTATTCCGTGAAGTGAATATTATGAAAATGTTAAATCATCCAAATATTGGTAAGATATAATTTTGTTTATAGGGTTGTTATTATTGTATAATAATTATATATGATCATTCAGTCGTTCAATGATTAAACGACTGGAGAGCTCGAACCCATATTAACCTGTATATTTTATTTATTTATTTATTTATTTATTTTAACACAGAGATATTGGTACAAGGAGGCACCAAATACATATGCGCCACACAGATCTCATTTGATATGTGTGAAGGCTGTGATACTGCCCGGGTACCCAAGCCGAGACAGATGATTTTCCTAGGGGGCCACACCGCGAGACTTTGACCCAAAGGTCTGATCCATAAAGCAGTGGAGCATCGTAAGGAGATGCAGTCCATGGTAGCCGGTAATCAACGAGTGGTTCATACGCCAATGGTTCCTTCAGGATACTGGAGCTAGCCCATGTGCACCATTGATTTGGGATCCGTTTAAAGTGCCGGACATTCGCTTTTTGTCCTCTCAATTTCGTAAACAACACCACCGCCACGAGAAGGCAGTGAGTAGGACTTCTCTGACAGAGGCTATATACGCGTGACCATGTGAGAGCCTTTCGAGAGGGAGAGCGGACACTCCCCATTCTCGGCCGTACCAGGGCATTTGGGGACCAAAGACGGAGTTGGAAAAAATGAGATAAGACTCATTGTATTGTGCCTCTCCATGGAAATCTTTTATTTATTTATTTGAACACATAGATATTGGTACAAGGAGGCACCAAATATATATGCGCCACACAAATCTCATTTGATATGTATGAGGGCTGTGATACTGTGCGGGTGCTCAAACCGAAACAGGTGGTTTTCTAATAGGGCCATATCCCTCTTATAATAAATAACTTGACTGAAAACCAAATACATTCAAAACTCACTAATATAATCAGTTTAAGGGATTTTATTCGGAATGGTTTAGTTCAATATTGGTAGTCATCAATGAAAATGTTATTGTAAAATAGAGTTGTCAAGGTAATTATTTGGTTTGAGTTTGCTGCTCAATTTTTCCTATTCAATAATAATCATGTCTAGTAAAAAGATGATGAAAACACTTCAATGAACATATGTTACTTCTCCATGTTTCCATGATAGTCTAGTTTTTATATATATACACATATAGTTGATAAGGGGTTTAAAAAGCCTAGTTTTGATTGTGTTTACTTGTGTTTTTTTTTGGTTGTGGGTGTATTATTATTATTATTATTAGTTCTGTATGAATATGATGTCTTATTTTTTTATTCATTTTCAAAAGTCTAAACATGCTAACCGGTGTTAGAGATAATTGGAAGAAAGTTAGGGGCGGCCAAACCAAAACGTGGCATCAGTCATTGAAGACACTAACTTCTGGTTTGTGCCAAGTTAGCAGATGCAGACTACCTGACTGGGGTCCGCGTGACTATCGTAATCAATGGTTGGAGACTCTTGGTGACATGGCTCAGAATCGATCACAATGGCGTCGGTGTTGTATACACTCTCTGTCTTCCTTTAAACTAAGAGATTAAAATCGCTTCATATCTTTCTTTCTACGAACTAATTCTATCTTCCTGTACTATCTCCTTATACACACTCTTTCTTCTATATATTACCACCACTGAATTAACTACTTCTATGAATCCGGTGTTCATCTTGTTATGCTAATGAGTGAGGTATGGCAACTTGAACCGATGCATATATGTGCCTGGTCGTACGTTGCAGCTGACTGACTGAAACATGTAGTAGAGAGAGATAGAGATAGAGAGAGAGAGAGAGAGAGAGCAGTAAAGCAATATAGGATCCATGTTCTACTGATCTAATGTCATTTCTACCATCTAACAATTATAGTTATATTCTGTCCTGTGTGAAATTTTCAGTCTAATTATTAATCTATAGTTTTTATATTGTAAATTTATTTGTTCATTTTTTTGCTTCTTTTCTTTAACAATATGGATTGTTTTTTTAAAGGACCTTATTTGGCAAATTTTTACCACCCATAGTGTTGATGTCATGTTCAGATTTATTTGTTCAACAGCAATGTCTATTTTAATTTATAACTATAAAAAAATGAAATTTATAAATAACAGGCATAAATAGGTTACAAGATTTTAATCGTAGATATCTTCGAAGGATTTCTCAGGTATGTATGTATGTATGTATGTATGTGTGTGTGTGTGTGGGAGGGGGTAACAACAAATTGATTAATGCAGTGATTCAATATGATGTACTAAGTAGCGATAACGAGTGGTTCGATAGAGGGGGGGGTGTTATTCTTCATTGAATAAATTTTACACATACAGTGGCCTTGAATGCTGTTAGAGGAGGTATGAAGGCGGTTATCACTTCCCGGCTGCCCACACCGTGGAAGGGTTCTTCTGGAGGTACCTGAAAAGGAAATTGGATTAGAGATGATCTTATTGACCTGGGAATGTGACCGCAGTACCCAAGGGACAGCTGCTTGAGGTCGGTCACACACGACCTTTTTATGAGTAATTTTTGTGTTAGCTCCGTACTTGTTGAGACCTTGTATTGCAAGTTTTATTTAGTTTAATTTACTTAATCATCATACATGTGACTAAAAGGAATATATATATATATATATATATATATATATATAATCAAATTAGATACATTTTATTTCATAAGTGAAGGGGGGGGTGCTGGTTCTGGTAGTAGTAGTGGTGGTGGTAGTGGGAATCAATGATTTGTAAATTCAAACATCAATACTCACTCAGTTACCACTATATTTATTTATTTTTTGTATCAGCCGATTAGTATAGATGTATATGTGTTATTTAGTGATCCTATGTACAGTGTAATACTTCATAAATATTGGACGTTCTCTTTTAAAATCTATCTCACTTTCACGTATATTTGCTTCTTTGAAACAATATTAAAAACAAAACTGAATGAGTTCAATTGATACTTATACGTACATACTTTTGTCTTTAAAATCATCGTTATTGTTGCTAACCATATTATCTGGTTATTATTATTATTATTATTATTATTATTATTATTATTATTATTATTATTATTATTATTATTATTATTATTATTGTCAACTAGTTCGCTTGTATGAAGTGATCGAATCTGAACGTCATGTATATCTAGTTATGGAATATGCAGAAAATGGTAAGTTTCTTCTTGTTGTTGTTTTTTTGTTGTTGTGCTTTTGTGTTTCTTATTGTTTGTTATAAACAAATGGTATTTCTTATGAAATTTTTTCAAATTTTACTATTGATGAAATTTAAATAATTAAGCATTGACATTAGATCTTTTTGTTGAATGTCCGTCAGTTATTTGCTTTTGAGTTTTGTTAGTTAATATTTCATAGTAAGTTATACTTTTATTTCTATACTAAATTTAATGATTCTACATTTCAATGGTTATGATCATAAGTCAGTTGAAACTAGGTCACCATGGAAAACCTGGAAACACTGGATGGTTGTCTCGTCTTATTGTGGAACTTCTCAGCAGTGCACATTCACGACCTCGTCCCCTGCGAGATTTGACATTTGTTATACCGACCCCCAAATGCCCTGGTACGGCCGAGAGTGGGGGAGTCCGCTCCCGCTCTCGAAATGCTCTCATATGGCCACGCGTATACAGCCCCTGCCAGGGAAGTCCTACTCACTGCCTTCTCGTGGCGGTGGTGTTCTTTACGAAATTGAGAGGACAAAAAGCGAATGTCCGGCACTTTAACCGGATCCCAAATCAATCGTGCACATCGGTTGGCTCCAGTATCCTGAAGGAACAAATGGCGTATGATCCAATCGTTGGTCACCGACTACCATTGAATTGCATCTCCTCACGATGCTTCACTGCCTTGTGGGTCAGACCTTTAGATCGAAGTCTCGGGATGTGGCCTCCTAAGAAAACCACCTACTTCGGTTTGGGCACCCGGTCAGTATCACAGCCCTCACACATATCCAACGAGATCTGTGTGGTGCATATGTATTCGGTGCCTCCTTGTACCAATATCTATGTGTTAAAGTAAAAAATACCATCCATTTCACCTTTTCATTATTATTATTATTGTCATTATTATTATTATTATTATTATTATTATTATTATTATTATTATTATTATTATTATTATTATTATTTGATTGAGTTCATCAACCAGGTTTTAAATGGTGGTCTAACATTAATCAGTTCATGATCTTAATCAAAAACTTGACAATCTCCACAACACCTAAATTGATATTTACAATGTGCTCTCTAGTGACTAGCTTCGTGAGAAAATTCTCGAAGTTCTGGTGAGAAGTCGTCACCAGTGGAGCTAATCCGTGTCGGGTAGAAACAGGTGTCTATCTCAGTACAATGGAAGATGGTCGCGCAACTTCGTGGATTGGTTGAAGTTAGACAACACTTTTGGATGCCGGTTCAGTGGTCGAGTAGGTTAAGCGTTCGCGCGCGAGGGTTCGAACCCCGCTTGTGGGATCGTGGATGCGCACTGCCACTGAGGACTCCCACAATAGGACGAAACGGCCATCCAGTGCTTCCAGGTTTTCAATGGTGGTCTAACATCAATCGGTTCATAATCTCAACCAAAAACGTGACTATCTCCACAACACCTAAATTTATAATTATTATTATTGTTTATTACTTATTATTTATGCACATAAACATTGGTACAAGCAGATATCAAATAGATATGTTCTTTATAAATCGTTCGATTTATTTTAGGGCTGGGATACCGTCCGAGTGCTCGAACCGAAACAGGTGGTTTTACTTAGGAGGCCACAACTGGAGCCTTCGACCTAAAGGTCTGATTTACGAGGTAGTGGAGCAATGTCAGTAGGTGCAGTCCCATGGTAGCCGGTGACCAACGATTGGTTCACACACTATTTGTTCATTCAGGATCCTATAACCCATGTACACCATTAGTTTAGAATCAGGGTTTTATAGCTCCCTTAGATGGAATCTCTGTGTCCTTTTCCATGATATTGTTTAATATTTAAGTCATATTGTATATTTAATTTATTACTTATGCCTGCTTCTTGGATACATTAAAAAGAACTTTTCATTGATTTAAGAGGTGTTTTTTTTTCCAGCATTCCCAGAAATTTTTTGTCTATTGAGTTAAATGATCCTATGAATCCGGTGTTTGTCTTGCTATGCTAATGAGATATGGAAACTTGAGCCAATGCATATATGTACCTGGTCCTACGTTGTAACTGATTGAATTTATGACACTTATCATGTAGGCAAGGTATAGGTTTTCCTGTCAAAGGGAGAATAATTTGATCAACAATTTGAATTCAATTTCTTCTAGCAACTGATATTTCAACGGTATACGTAAATTAATGGTATTTTATTAGTGTTGTTCACCATTGGTTCGTTCCATTCATTGCGAACAAATTTCATTTTGACTTTAAATGATAGTTTTTCATTACGTATTTCAGTTATTTCATTTTAAAATATACTCATAGGGTCACAATTGATTGATCACTGGGTGACCAATGTCACGCGTGTCTAGTCCTTATTATTAGTGCAGATCAAATGCTATCGATCATGTTGCAATGTGGCCACCAGTCTAGGTGACTCTGGGTGACATTGGTCACCCAGTGATCAATCAATTGTGATTACATCTCAGCCCTACAGGAGGTCGGTCGCGGCCCGGATAGCTCAATGGTAACGTCTCTGACTGTGAAGCTGGGTGACACGGGATCGAATCCGCCAGGGAGCATCAGTTCCCTCAAAGATTACAGGTACAGCTTGCTGACGAGTGCCAATTAGCACGAAACCCGGGTCCAAGGTTTCCTGTCGGCTACCTCCAACCACCGTCTAATACTCATAGCGTTAATATTTTAGCTATATTGTTAGCTCTCATTTACGTTGATATGGTGTGTATCACGACCTAGGCTTACATATATTTCTACGTGATCTTCGAAAATTGTGTTTTGATTCAACTGATGTAACTATTTCTACTGTACAGAATGTTACTGGAAACTCTCAGTCAGTCAGTCAGTAACAACGTAGAACTTCGTACGTACGTATATTAGTTCGAGCCGCCACACCACATTAGCACAGAGATTCAGTTTTCGATTGAAATCTCATAGTGGTACAGGTAGTAATAGTATAAGCAGAAATCGGAAAGATTAGGATTTGAAGATGTTATTCAAGAAGTATAATCCAGTGAAATAAATTTCGAAAGAGAAAAAGGAAAGGGGCATGAACAATTCATAAGATTAGAATTTGGTAGAACACAAAGAGTGGGTGCACCTGTGTCATTGCAAACGATGTTGAGCTATGTCATTCAGGGTCTCTAACCATCAGTTATTATCGTCTCATGGATCGCAATCAAGTAATCTACACCTACAAACTAGAAATTCTGGCCTGATATATTTTGTTTTATTTATCAATATTTACTTTCCTTGCAAATAATAAATTTTCTTTTTAATGATTAATTCACCTTGACCTGATTCGTGTTAAGGAAGAATCGATTATTATTATTATTATTGCACACTTTTACTAATCCTTCTTGGCTTATTTCTATCTGTCTGATTATCTATTTTAAAAGCTGTTCATCTACTCGTTTTCTTGCTTTCTGTCTATCTATCCATCTATCTCATTTTATTATTATTATTATTATTATTATTATTATTATTATTATTATTTTAACACATCGATATTGGTACAAGGAGGCACCGAATACATATGCACCACACAGATCTCATTTGATTTGTATGAGGGCTGTGATATTGCCCGGGTGCCCAAACCGAAGTAGATGGTTTTTTTAGGAGGTCACACCCCGAAACTTCAATCTAAAGGTCTGATTCACAAGCAGTGGAGCATCGTAAGGAGATGCAGTCCCATGGAATTCGGTGACCAACAATTCGTTCATACGCCATTTGTTCACGCAGGATACTGGAACTAGCCCATGTGCACCATTGATTTGGGATCCGGTTAAAGTGCCGGACATTCGCTTTTCGTCCTCTCATTTTCGTAAAGAATACCACCGCCACGAGAATGCAGTGAGTAGGATTTCTCTGGCAGAGGCTATATACATATGGCCATGTGAGAGCATTTTTCGAGGGAGAGCTGACTCTCCCCACTCTCAGCCGTACTAGGGCATTTGGGGGCCATCTATCTCATTTCTTCCTTTAAATTCACAAAACCTAGATTAAATTGATCAATTATCTTGTTTGAGTGTATGATGATTGGTTTGTTATTACACTTGTGAATATGATTTTTCATTGGAAATATAAATTTATAACGTGGTTATTATCATATCAAATTTCTTTCATGTTGATTTTTTTTTCATTATACCTTTCGTTTTTCTACTGTTTTAATACAAACGAATCAATGATGTGGTGTATCAGAACGGGTTTTTGGGGGGATTTTTGGTAATTTCAATAGTTAAAATGATGAGTCAGTTAAAGCTAGACCGCCATAGAAAACCTAGAAACACTAGACGGTCGTTTCGTCCTAGTATGGAACTACTCATCAGTGCTAATCCACGATTTCGCCTACTGCGTGATTCGAACCGAGGATTTATCAGTTTACTGCACGAGCGCTTAACCTTTAGACCACTGAGTTGGTCGGCATCCAACAGTGTTAATGTCTAACTTGAACCAATCCACGACATTTCGCCACCGTTACCATTGTCTTCAATGGGCTAATATCTCACAAAAGACCTCATTGAACTCAATTGATCACGGCTTCCCACGTGCTTCCAGGTTTTCCATGGTTGTCTGGCTTCAATTGACTCATGATTTCAACTATTGAGATGTGGTATATTTCCAAGCTGACTGGGATCAATACTAGTTATAGATTTATACTTCTCTTAGTCATTGGCTTATAATTTATAATCTTCGACTTTCATTCAACAGATTAAGCATTCATATCCCTTGTCTACCTAATTCAGTATGTATAACTGGTTGATATGTCAATATCCCTCGTACTTAAGGTGTGGCTCCCAAATGCCCTAGTACGGTCAAGGATGGGGAGAGTCCGTTCACACTCTCTAAATACTCTCACATGGCCACATGGCCTCTGCCAGAGAAGTCCTATTCACTGCCTTCTTGCGACAATACTGTTGTTTACGAAATTGAGATGAAGAAAAACGAATCTGTGGCGCTTTAACCGGGTTTGTGGGCATGAAAAGTCCACATAGGGGATTCGGA